ATTCTAAAATAATATCTTAGTGATATGCATAACACTGATCTGTTCTTTGCATTGTTGTTTTATTTGGAAATGTCATTGATTTCAGCCTTCCTAATCCTCCTCCTCCTCCTTTGGCTGTTCCTCAACAGCTATTAGAATCGATCAGAAACTCTTCTAGGGCTATAGGTAAAGAAGAGTAAGTTACATTTCGTTTTAGAGAATGAAAAGAGTTACTGTTCTTCAGGTCATCTGCTGAGATGAAAGATGTTGTCGTTGTCAATTACAATGATAAAGAGTCTGAAGTTGTTGTTTTGAATCACAATGAACCCCAACGATCGAGTCGTTCGTTCTCTGAAACTATTTCTAAGATGACATCCAGTCGCGAAGTTATTTCTCATGATTCCACTTCTCATGTGCCTCCAAAAACACCCGACTTTCCGCCTCCGATGAATCCAATATCTCGTCCGTATGACCTTCCACCTTCAGGAGGAAAGCCTAGACGACCTCCATTGCCTGTATCCCCTAATACAAACGCAACATCTCAAAGACCAGGAGCATTTCCCATATCACCCGCAAACAAAGATACAGTCAAAGTGTGGGAAACCTCTTTTCAGTTTCAATTTGTGAACATTTAAATGTTTCAGATATAGCAATGAAACAACCCCACCACCCCCAACAAGTACCATGCCAGTAACGAAGAACGTCTCATCGACTTACTCAACTCTTGTATTCATGAATGAAAATGGAACTTATACAACAGATAAGCTTAAGTCTTACACTCCAAGCAATAAGCCGGCACAACCCGATTCAAACGCTCACTATACGCAGGTTGCTGCTGTAGAACCTAATCAAACAATTTTATTATTTTACAGACGCCTATTTATCCAAGCAGTCCTCGCTCACCGTATTCAACTTCATTAACAGACCAATTGAAAGATAAAGATAATTTCAAGAAGAATTCAAATTATCAAACTTTACCCTATTCTGATATGATAAGAAGCACAGATTCTGAGGCACAACACTTAAGATATTCAACAAACGGTGACTTGGGCTCTTTAGAGCGTGGTTACTCATCAAGCAGGTATACGAATGTGCCGGTAGGAGATATAAGCCCAGTAAGGTGATATACATTTCAATAACAAAAATAGATATTGAAAACTTGCAGATATGTTTATGAAACGGCTTCTCGTAATTATGTGCCTTATGCAGTGGGGGGAAGAAGCCTTTCTAGGCAAGGGCGAGAATTGGAAAGACGAAAACGTGAATCAAGGTCTCTTGAACCATTTCGCCACTCTCAAATTGAGGATGAACCATATCATACATCAAGTGGATTCATAAGATTCCGTCGTTGTTCTCCTATGAGACATTCAACCAATTCTCTTCATCGCATAGCTCCAGAGTTACCAGAATTGGTAACTACAACATATGTGTTCAATGTTTGATCTTACTCTATTCAGATTCAAGCAGAAGACAAATATTCCTTGATGGAATACCCACAATATCATACGCTGCCCAAAGAAACGATAATTGATTATAAAAGTCCTACTTTCGATAGGTTTTCACAACTGTTGGAATGTTTCTTGATAGCTTTCACTCCAGGTACCGACCAGCAAGCTACGACCCATATGGAAGTGTCCGCATTGAGAATCCTGATTCCAGTACCCTTCAACGTAAGTAAACATGTGACTTGTAACAGTTTTGAAAGCATATGCAAATAGGAAAAGATAACAAACTATGTAATAAGTTGTAAATAATGCTCTTCTTTCTTTCACTTCTAACTTTCCCTTTTAGGGAACCAACCTGCTCGATCATCTGACGCTCCCACGTACTCCATCAACCCAAATAGAAACAGCAACGCTTTACTCTTAGAACGTGACAGGCTTTTAAGGTGGCTATTTCCCTTTTTCTATTTTTAATTGCAATTTTGAAGACAAACAAGGGAGGATGTCAAAAGGGATTCTTATCCCAATTCACGGATTCCTATTTATCAAAATCTTCCAAGCCAACCTCGTGATGCTACCAATCGGTACGATCAAGTACCTCCTCCAGGTAAGTGCAAATGAAAGCTTCATTGAAACTCTTCATAACTTTTAGGAACTCTCAATAGGAACTCTATAATGATTCCTTCTGAACTAAGAAACGGAAAGCCAATCCAGATAAATGTGGATATGAAGGAAAAGGACAAACACCAGGTTTCTCAACTCTCCATTTGTTTTGACAGCCAGCATTATAGAAGGAACCACATTTGCCACCACATGGTTATACTGATTCTGATTATGGAGAGAATTGGGATCCCGTTCGAAACCAAGAGGTTTATAATAATGAGAGATCTGAATAAGTTGAATGTTTCAGAGAGGAGCCACACCGCAGAACTATCAACAACCTCAACAACCACAGTACCAACAATTAAGTGAGCAGCCTCATGTTATCGGTCAACGTGTGAATAGCTCTTTACAACGTAACCGACCAGATAACTTGAACATCGGAAACGGCGCTACTCCTGGCCCAGCGAATAATCAAGGACAGGGACACGGGAGCAGAGGATACGGCCAAATACAGGAAGACGGTGTTCGAATAACCGAAACAACTTATCATCCGACTGGTTTCTTAACAGAAGTCAATGATCCTAGATCTCCACCTCCTCCTCCATGTATGTAACTGTTTAGAAGCACATTAATTCTTGTTCATTAAGATATGACCAGACCGTATCCAGCTACACCCGGTTACACAGGCGGTGATCAGATGGAACGTCAACCTCTACGATCGCAATCCCCTCGAAAAGGAAAGAATCAGAAAAACGTGAAGAACCAACCGAAACGAAAAGCCACGAAAAAGACAACAAAAGTGACGACAAGGTTTGTAGGTTGTTTCGTTGAATCCATTATATGGTAGCTGATAAGAACGGTTAGGATATTCAGAGAAAAGTCCGAAATTGTATTTTTTACCTTCGATTCATTGAACAGACATCTGCATGCTGTCCTTAGTTGATGGGGGGCGTTTTTTGGTTGCCATAGAGAGTTCAATTTGAATGTTTATGTTTTGCTTATGAGTAATTGGCTGGAGCTTTTTTCAGTTCTAAGAATATGTTTCGAATGCGGAATAGAACATCTTATTATGGGAATGAGTATCCACATTGGCAAATGAAATTTTGGTTTGCGACTGTCATACCATTGATGATCGCTATCGTTTTTTTGGTTTTCTTGTTTTGGCGTCTCTATGTATACTTAACAAACTAAAATTAACATTGAAAAAACGGCCCAGAGAGTAGTTCTATCATGCAAACTAATAATGTGCTTTCTTAACTTTCACTGCACTTAACCAAAACTTGCTTGCTTTGCAGAAGACGAACACAGAGAGCTCAAATTCAATGCTTGAATTGGAGTCCTTCAGAATGTGGAAACCCAAGGGACTGCTGTCTAAACTTAGTTTTCTTCTTAGTTATTCCTCTCATCATACTAGCTGTAATAGCAACGATTATCATAATCATTGTTACAAGTCATAAATCAGAGGATTATAGGAGTACTGACTATTATGGAAATAATTATAATTCATATGGCAATTCTAACTATAATAACCGATATCAGTATTGAGTTTCTTCCTTTCTGTACACAGCTTTTCTCATTCATCTCTCTCTCTCTCTCTATCTTACTCTCTATATCTCACTCTCTCTCTCTCTCTCTCTCTTCATGTCTTACTTACTCCTTGCACCTTCATACTGTGATGACATTGTGATAGTTTGACTTCTGTAGTGTTGTTTGAACGATGAAAACTTGTATTTCCATACTCTTTCATGAAATATAAATCTTTTTTATTATATATTATTCACATAATTAACACCATCAATCGTAATTAATCGAAGCTGTTTATGTTTTATTTACAAACTCTCACTAACAACTTTGCTTTCAATGTATTCTGAATACTTACGTTACAGCTGCAGATTAACATTTCAACTTCTCACAAATAAAATATTCTGCGATTTTTCATCTTTTCTTTTTACATTCTCAAAATGTATTTTAAATCAAAAATCAATCGATATTTTTAAAGTTTGTACCTTTATGCTCCGCGGACACTTCCACGTCATACGTGAATTACGTGAAAAGTTCACGCGGTCGGTTTTGTTTATCGTCGTCGGATTCAAAAAATAATGAAAGACGTAAGATAGATTCGCTATCTTTCAAACTGCCGGGAAAGGATTTCTTCTCATGTGGCAATCCAGATATGGTAACAG